TAAAATTATTATTAAAACCAAATAAAGATAAAACATTATAAAGAAAATTCCAATCGAGATTATCATAAGCTTTAGAAACATCAAGCTTAAAAATAACATTACCACCCTTCATTTTGACATTGATATCATGAGTAATCTCTTGGGCTAAAAGTACATTATTAAAAATGCTTCTACCTTTAGCATAACTAATATGATTCAGAGAGATAATATTAGGCAGAATGTTAAGCAATATATTAGCAATAATTTTGGAGTTAAGCTTATTGAGGAAAGTACACAAAGTGATCGGCCTATAGTCATTCCAATGATTGGGGCCATCTTTTTTAGGAATAAGAACAATATAAGTGGAAGAAAAAAAATTAGAATAGGGGTTACCCGCAAAAGAATCTTCCACAGCTTTAATCACATCATCTTAAAATACAAAAAATATATGTTTTGTTTTAAAAGTGAGCAATAGTTTTTTAAAACTATAAATTCAATCCCCCTCCTCCCCTCTTGGTGTGCCTAAGGACAATTCACTAGGATTAAAATCCTTCATCGAACTTTCAATATATTTTGTTATCTCTCTTGTACTTAATCTGCTTGGTTTAGGCTAAGTGTCAAATTTGCATCACCTTGTAAGACATTAATTAACATATGTGCATATATTTCGAGTATAGGGATTAAAGTCTACATGCGAAAAATTTTACGAAGAGGAAGCACATTGTGCTCTAATAAGATTTTCAGAGAATTACATACATGTTACCAAAATCAATCCTATTTAAAGCGTTAAACCTAAATAGAAAATAAAACTTGCAAACCAATTTATTTATGAGTGTTGCGAAACATTGAGAATCAAAATTGATAATTTTATTATGAATTTCGAAGTTTCAAGACGGGCTTCAAATATGTTGGATTTTCTTTAAATTAGTGTAATATAAATTTTTATTTTATGTGTGTAGATATTATACTTATCTAGACAAATCTAATGCTTCTAAAACCCCTTATAATTAATTTTTAGTTATTATATTATGATGGTAAGATGTTTTCATGATAATTCTAAATAGAGATAATTAGATAATAATTATTTAAAAAATGAAAAAAAAAATTGATTTTGTTCATACAAAAGGTCCATAATTTTTTTTTCTTGTCGTAGAAGGATGTAAATAAGTCAAGTCAAGCTTGAATTATAACTAGCTTGAGTTATATATAACTTTAGCTCAACTTATCTATATCTCTAGGAGATTATATTAAGCTGTAGCTCGAGTCGAGCTCATATATTGAATTTGAGATTAATTGTCTTATCACTTCGCAGCTCAAGCTCAAGTTGTGATGGGAGCTTGTTGGGATTGATGGCAAGGAAGTTGTGATCCGACCTCGGTGGAGAAGACATTGATCTGATTAGAAATAAGGAAGTCACAATGAAAGCTTGCTAGAGAGACATTGATGGGACCATTAACATTTAATGGAGTTTTGTGAGGCCTTTTAAATCAGGGTAAACTTAAAGCGGTGAAAAACATGATGTAGAAATTAACTATTCATTCTAGTTGTGCCGGCTTGAGCCGAGCATCATTAAGCTCAAATTTAAGCTAACTTAATTAGCGAGCTGTAATTTGAGCTTTAAGCTTGAACTTGATCTCAATTTTTTTGATTAACTCAATTCGCAATCTTATGAACATGTTGAATCCGAGCATTTGTATTACATTGCTGAAAATATGTGGCTATTGGCACATTTTCTTTTATTAGAATTTTGAATGAAACAAACTGCAAAAATTCACAACGCACGGTACGCACAAAATCAATGGAAAACCTCTTCTGGATTAAAAACCTAACCTCCCAACATAAAGCTGTGGCTATAGGCTCGTTTGTATCTCACTAATTGCGGCAACTAATGTGTGGCTCGCATGCTTCGCATATATTGACCACAAATGGCATATTTTATTATGTCCGTCAAACGGCTATAAAATTCGAATTTTAGTCAATTACCGAAGCTTCACATTCATTTTCTCAATCGAAGCGGCTGTTTTCCTGTGTCTTTCTTATTGCTTGCAGAATTAAATTCAAGAAACTTCTCATGATCAAAACTCTCAGTCGAAGAGAAGAGTCCTCAATCACACGCCATGCCTAAGAACAAGGGAAAGGGCGGTAAGAATCGGAAGAGAGGGAAGAACGAGGCCGACGACGATAAGCGCGAGCTCGTCTTCAAGGAAGACGGACAGGACTACGCGCAGGTCCTCCGCATGCTCGGAAATGGCCGTTGCGAGGCCATGTGCATCGACGGAACCAAGCGCCTCTGTCACATCCGCGGCAAGATGCACAAGAAGGTTTGGATTGCCGCCGGCGATATAGTTCTCGTCGGTCTCCGCGATTTCCAAAACGACAAGGCTGATGTCATCTTCAAATACATGCCTGACGAGGCCCGCCTTCTCAAAGCCTATGGCGAGCTCCCAGAAACCACTCGCCTCAACGAGGGCATCGCTGGTGGCGTAGACGATGAGGACGAAGGAGCCGGAGACGACTACATCGACTTCGAGGACGAGAATATTGACAAGATCTAGTTTCCCACACGGAGCTACGCGCCTCCATCACCCGAAATTATTTTGTGCAGTTCGGAGGTGAATTCTGAGCATGCGACGTCACGGAGGCCCAATAAATTCACTGACTTGGCCCATTCAGATTTCAAATCTCTCAAAATGAAATCTGTTTCAAACATACATGTCATGGTTCCTTATTTCGACAGGGTGCAAATATCTCAATTTCACTCTTTTAGATAATCTCCAAATGCATTCGAATTCCACACACAATAATTTTTCATCAATCACATAAAATTTTTTTTATCATTAGTTAGTTTTACAATTATATAATGATGAAGAGTTTTATTAAAGATTTTCTTACGGTGATGGATATGAAATTTTTTATTTGAATATTATAATCTGGAGATATGCTAATTATATCTCATTAATTTTATGAGATATGCATTAAAGTTTTTTAGATGTAAGATAATCATATATATAGTTATGGATTGTCTTGTCTGATATAATTTTCTCATGAGATCAACATATTTTAACCAGCTAGTTTGACTGGAGCTCAATATAAGCATTTTGAGAAGTACAAGATTATTCATCCGTACATTGATGAAATTCTGTTATTTTGATATTTCTATTCGTTATGTTCAATTTGAGGTTAATTAATGAACACAGTTAATGTCATGATTTGATGCTATAAAAACGTACAAAGATCTCTTGCAACATTTATTCTTTAAGTATAAATTGTTTTAGTACTTATATGTAAGATATTTAATTTAGACATTGGTTTTCTTATCTAAATATAAGTTTTCCTTGCTAGCTATAATATTTTACCTAAATATAAGATTTTAATTTATTAGACTAGTCAGTAAAATATATATATAATATTTTCAACGAAATATGAGGCTTCTAACCAGGTCATTATATTTTATCAAATATAAGGTTTTCGATTTTTACCTAAGAGTTTTGACTTAAATATAAGGTTTTTGATCTAGATTTGCGCATTCTCGAAGAACTTTAATTCATAAATGAGTTTTTTTATCCAGATTTGAAGAAACTCAATGATACTGTTTTAATAGGTTTGATTCTGCAGTCAATTTGCCTTTTAAGTTTCTTTTATGTTGTCATTTGCTTGTGTTGCCTGCCAGACATAATTTATAGATGAAAAATTGCATATTTATTACCTCTTGTTTTTATGTTTATTTCTTTTTTTCATTTTGAGGTGTTGATATATTGTTAGTTGTGCCATCGTCCTCTCTAATGTTTTGGATGAGAGAGAGAGTAGATCAGTTTAATTTTGTTATAATGTTGGCATTTCATCAACATCATTTTTTTTTCTTTTATATTACTTGAAGTTAGTAGGTCTGTTTTTATTCATGTATATGCTCTTTGTTTCTATCAGAATAATTACTAATACAGTGTAGTTTAGCTATGAATACATACTTTATCATACTAAGGCTTCGTTTGGGACGGCATTTCTGTTGCTTTCTAAAGCTATATTTTAGTACAAAATCTATTAAAAACAAGAAAAAAGCAGTGGTCTAAGGTTTCATTAAGGATGATTTTCTTACTGCTTTTTTAAACAAAGCTAGTTTAAGAAAAAGTAAGAAAGCTGTCCCAAATGAAGCCTTAAAGCTATCCCAAACAAAATCTTTCTACCAAGCTTGTTTAGCTCATTAATGAGGACAAGGAGCTTCTGACAGTGCGTTGAGGAAGTAAGTGGTGCTTCGAAGACAAATGTCTGAGACTACAAAAGAGGTAGCTACTAGTGAGGTCAGGGTGAGCTCTCAAGTGCCTTTACTTGGGATATGTAAGACAAAAATAGACAAGTTCACACATTTACGAATATTGTTATCATGGAAGAGGAAACCTACTGTGGGAGAGCTCAAAGTCCGTGTTTCATCAATCAAGCATTTATAGCATCAGCCGAGCGGCGATGATCGAGATAAAGGCTTAGGAGTTGCTGAGGCTCTTTTGGTACTCTAGGGGAATTATTATGTGGGATAGACTCTTGGTTGCCCATCTAACTCTTTTAATTTTATCTATTTATTTCAAGGGCATCTGTTGATGAGAGAGTCCCATAGTGTCAACCTCTTGGGGGTTGTTGAGCTTGTTGGGGCCAATTAGCCGGCATTGTTAAGCTAGTTGGGCCTATTCTTACTAGAGAAGAGGAAAAGGTGTAGACCTATGCAACTTATAAGGAGAGGACTATAAGACTAGCCTGCATTGTTGAAATACAAGAGCACGACATAGTATTTTGATGATTATAAATATTATTTGTATAATAATTTACTTATTCAAGCTTTACATATATTGCATGTTTTTTTTTTTTTTTTTTGGTATTACTAACCATTTCAGCTGCAACATATACGATGCTAATTTGAAAAACAATGACTCAAGATAATATAGAATCAATGTTTAAGTCATTTTATAATAGAGTTCGAAATTTTCTATTTTCTTAAGTCATTTTATGTATTTGGTGTATGTTGGCTAGACAATCAAGTGATTGATGTTAATTGTACTGTATAATCTGTTAAAATAAAATTGATTCAAGTTATTAATGAAATTAGATTAATTAAATTATAACTAATCGTACTGTATGACTTGAAGTCATATAGGATGATCAATTATCTTAAAAAATCCTACTATTGAATACTTATTAAAAAAATGAGGAAAATTTAAATTTTGAACTGATTATATTGTACTAAGGACTTCGTACTATACGAACATTAATGAATGTTGAGTAATTTAATCCCAAGGATTATGGATTCAAATCTTAAGTAATGATATTATGATTAATATTATACAGGACGATCAAATAAATATATTGTTGATTGAAACTTAGTTATTCCAAGATGATCTGTGATTCGATATAATTAAGCATACTATATAACTATACATCATATAAGATGATTAGAGATGAGAAATAAACTAATTAGATATTACCACCCTAGAATCGTACTGTATGATCAAAGAAATTGATTTAAAATTAGGATATAATTTAAATAACCCAACCATCTTAAATCTAAGAAGACTTAAGGGTCTAGGGGTGAGTAGCAGAGACATTTTTTTAGGGAGGGAGCTTGAGAGAAGGACAATGAACCTCCAAGCTCGTAAGAGGGTCTCCAAACAAATTATACGAGGTAGGAGGTGACGTTGAGGTAGATTTTTTTAATGAGGGTGCCAAGAGGTGTGAGGAGATTGACACAGTTGTTATTGTCAGCCTGCATCTTGAGTCTTTCATGTTGTGATTTTGTTGCTCTTGGAAAAGAGCGCTAAGAGAAAAACTCTATGAGAGAAATACTTACTAATCAAGGAAGCTAGGGGATAACATCTCCACCATACCTAGGAGTTGAAGGAGAGAGCAACATCTCTTCCATAGAGAGGAGCTAAAGGAGGGGGGCTTCTCCTCTGTAGTGAGGAGCTGAAGGAGAGAACAACATCTTCATAAGGTTAGGAGTCAAAAGGAGGAAGATTTTTGGGTTAGAAGAGTCTGTAAATGTCATTCTCTACCTATTTGAGTGCCTAATGAGTGTGAGTTGGTGCAATACCCAAAGATGATGATCATTGGAGAGTAACTTGAAAGTTTGAGATTGGTGTTAAATCCTAAAGAACTAGCCTGAGGCTAACTAGGGGGGAGGTGAATTGGTATTTTTATAAATCTTAAACAAAAAGAAAATCTTTTTGATTTTTTAAAATATTTTAAAATAAAATAATAACCCTTAATGCATAAGAAAATAATTTTGCTATATCAATAGAATCATATTTTTTTAATCCTAGAACAAATCACAGAAAGGTATAAAAATAAAATACTATAAAAGTAATATGAAAGAACACACTGAATTTTATAGTGGTTTGGTCAAATACGACCTACGTCCACTCCTTAGAGACACCCACTCCATATATTACACTAAACTAAAGTGAATCTCCTTTTCCTCCCACAGTAAGGTAGAGAAGCCCTTACTACGTATTTGCACTTTCAGCAATTCGGTCGGTTGCCTTATTTTCATCCCTAGTTGACGTGGTTCGAACCTCACGGAAGGAAGGCGCACACGCGCGCAGGGGCTCTGGCACCGCGCCGCAGCGAAAGTTCGTCGCCGGCAGCCCGAGCGCGGGAGCGGGATCGCACACGTGGCTCCGGGAGTGGGGAGTTTGTCGCTGGCAGCTCGAGCGCTGGAGCGAGTGCGTCGCCGGCAGATCGAGCGCGGTAGCGCATCGCCGGCAGCAGCCCGGGAGCAAGGGTGGCGGTCGCGGGCAAGGATTTTTTTTTATTTTTTTTTAAATTTGACCAGCGGTTTAAGACCGCCAGCAAGCCGCCGGAATAATTTGCCGCCGGAAAAAACTACCGAAATTTATTTTCCTACGTCGTTTTTAACGGCGGAATTTTAACCGCCGTAAAAACGCCGGAAACTTACAAAACCACCGAAAAAGACTCAATTTTCCCCGGAAAAAACTGCCAGTTTTGGGTGATTTTCCTGTAGTGGACAGAGAACCTTGAATCATTTTATTCCCTCCTAGAGTAGGTAGAGAACCTGAGAATCCTTTTACTTCCTCTTGGAGTAGGTAGAAAATCTAGATCTAATCCTGAAAATGATCTCCCTAGAGCCACCAAGGAACCAGTTGAGCAACTCGAAGAAGATGAAGAACAGCTTGCTTGGAGCAACCTTTGTGATTCCCTCATAAACTCCCTCTCACTAGGATCTCTCTCTCTCTCTCTCTCTCTCTCTCTCTCTCTCTCTCTCTCTCTTTCTCTCTCTCTCTCAGGCTCTCCCTCTTCCTTCTCTAAGCTCCCTCTTGGATCAACTCCACAATAAAATATTTACTCAAGGGTTAATATAATTACTTATATAGAGAGCCTCCAAAATAAGCCCTAATTTTAAATTTTACACAACCTGTTGTCGTGTATGATTAGTACAAAATAGCCCTTTCAACCAAAACGATCACCATTTCTCTGTATGATTAGTATAAGTATTTCTACATATCATACAGGATGATTATTTCAAAATACTATATGAAATTGTCTAATATGACAT